AGTGAAGCAGGAAGGGGAGCAGAAAGTTGAAGCAGGAAGGGGAGCAGGAAGAGGAGCAGGAAGGTGAAGCAGGAAGGGGAGCAGGAAGGTGAAGCAGGAACGGGAGCAGGAAGTTGAAGCAGGAAGGTGAAGCAGGAAGGGGAGCAGGAAGAGGAGCAGGAAGGGGAGCAGGAAAATGAGCAGGAAGATGAAGCAAGAAGGGGGGCAGGAAGGGGAGCAGGAAGAGGAGCAGGAAGGGGAAGCAGGAAGAGGAGCAGGAAGTTGAAGCAGGAAAGGGAGCAGGAAGAGGAGCAGGAAGAGGAGCAGGAAGGGGAGCAGGAAGGTGAAGCAGGAAGAGGAGCAGGAAGGGGAGCAGGAAAATGAGCAGGAAGGTGAAGCAAGAAGGGGGGCAGGAAGGGGAGCAGGAAGAGGAGCAGAAAGGGGAAGCAGGAAGAGGAGCAGGAAGGGGAGCAGGAATTTGAAGCAGGAAGGGGAGCAGGAAGGGGAGCAGGAAGAGGAGCAGGAAGGGGAGCAGGAAGGGGAGCAGGAAAATGAGCAGGAAGGTGAAGCAAGAAGGGGAGCAGGAAGGGGAGCAGGAAGAGGAGCAGGAACAGGAGCAGGAAGAGGAGCAGGAAGGGGAGCAGGAAGGGGAGCAGGAAAATGAGCAGGAATGTGAAGCAAGAAGGGGAGCAGGAAGAGGAGCAGGAAGGGGAGCAAGAAGGGGGGCAGGAAGGGGAGCAGGAAGAGGAGCAGGAAGGGGAAGCAGGAAGAGGAGCAGGAAGGGGAGCAGGACTTTGAAGCAGGAAGGGGAGCAGGAAGAGGAGCAGGAAGGGGAGCAGGAAAATGAGCAGGAAGGTGAAGCAAGAAGGGGAGCAGGAAGGGGAGCAGGAAGGGGAGCAGGAAAATGAGCAGGAAGGTGAAGCAAGAAGGGGAGCAGGAAGGGGGGCAGGAAGGGGAGCAGGAAGTTGAAGCAGGAAGGGGAGCAGGAAGAGGAGAAGGAAGGTGAAGCAGGAAGGGGAGCAGGAAGGTGAAGCAGGAAGAGGAGCAGGAAGGTGAAGCAGGAAGGGGAGCAGGAAGGTGAAGCAGGAAGGGGAGCAGGAAGGGGAGCAGGAAGAGGAGCAGGAAGAGGAGCAGGAAGGTGAAGCAGGAAGGGGAGCAGGAAGGTGAAGCAGGAAGGGGAGCAGGAAGGGGAGCAGGAAGAGAAGCAGGAAGGGGAGCAGGAAGGTGAAGCAGGAAGAGGAGCAGGAAGGTGAAGCAAGAAGGGGAGCAGGAAGGGGGGCAGGAAGGGGAGCAGGAAGTTGAAGCAGGAAGGGGAGCAGGAAGGGGAGCAGGAAGGTGAAGCAGGAAGGGGAGCAGGAAGGTGAAGCTGGAAGGGGAGCAGAAAGGTGAAGCAGGAAGGTGAAGCAGGAAGGGGAGCAGGAAGGGGAGCAGGAAGAGGAGCAGGAAGGTGAAGCAGGAAGGGGAGCAGGAAGGTGAAGCAGGAAGAGGAGCAGGAAGGGGAGCAGGAAGGTGAAGCAGGAAGGTGAAGCAGGAAGGTGAAGCAGGAAGGGGAGCAGGAAGGGGAGCAGGAAGGGGAGCAGGAAGAGGAGCAGGAAGGTGAAGCAGGAAGGAGAGCAGGAAGGGGAGCAGGAAGGTGAAGCAGGAAGGTGAAGCAGGAAGGTGAAGCAGGAAGGGGAGCAGGAAGGGGAGCAGGAAGGGGAGCAGGAAGAGGAGCAGGAAGGTGAAGCAGGAAGGAGAGCAGGAAGGGGAGCAGGAAGGTGAAGCAGGAAGGTGAAGCAGGAAGGTGAAGCAGGAAGGGGAGCAGGAAGGGGAGCAGGAAGGGGAGCAGGAAGGGGAGCAGGAAGGGGAGCAGGAAGGGGAGCAGGAAGGGGAGCAGGAAGGGGAGCAGGTGGATCCATGTTGTCGGCTTGCTGCTGTATGTTGGGAGGAAAATAGTTTGATCTGATCCTCTGCGATAACTTGCTGCTGATTTAGTGTTTTTTTAGTGATGGTGAGATGAAGCTTCATGAGGCATTGAACCATTTGGACAAAACGCTCCAACGATCCCCACAGTTCATGATGCTCCATGTGAATATGGCCATTAATAGCCATTACAGGCCATTTACCAAAAACTGAAAGTTGTAAAGTCAAACTAAACATAATTTAAAATAAATGTAAACAGATTCTTAACAACTGGTTGCAGAGAGACTGAACTCTTTCTGGTAGAATCCTACTGACCAAAATAGATTTATTTACCCCGCATACTCATTATCTATACCAGAAAAAATTATCAAGGAAATTAATTAATTTAAACCTTATCTGGAGAAACAGGCATCACTATATCAAGAAATGAAATGTAGTTAAAGATTACGAAGATGGAGGAATTAAAGCAATAGATTTTGAAATAATGAATGTTGTTTTAAAGCTAAAGTGGCTTAAATCTTTTCTTAGAAGTCGTCATGAGATCTGGTTTGCCGTCCCTCTCTGCTGTTCAGTAAAATCACTGGTATTTAGTTCCTGTTCAGATGTGATTCATTTATTTCCTGTCATTCCGTAAAAATTCAAAAAATATCCACTGGACTTGGTTTTCAAATTTGAAGACGTTTCTCCACCTCTCCAGGAAGCTTTCTCAATTCAAATGTCTGGATCCGCAGTGAGTTTGAGTCTTATATGGACAAGGCCTCGTATTGCTTGGAAACATGCAATGGTAACCGATGAATGGGTCGTTAGTTCCATCGTTAGCCTGTAATATCTGAACCTGTCTATGATTCTAGGGGTCGGTCGTTAAAGGGGGGATTGTCATTAAGGGGGGGATTGTCTCCTATAATACCTGAAACCTGTGTATGATTGTTAAGGGTTGGTCGTTAAGGAGGTATTGTTCACCGGCTGGGGCGGGTAGGTCCCTCGTTCCTCTGTGATGGGGTGGGGGGTTTGGTGATATCTGGAAGGGATCATGTCTATGATTGAATTGTATGTTTTTGGAAGCTGGAATCTGAGTCCACCACCTCTGTTTAAAGTTGGTTTTTCTCTCTTAACATAGATGGCTTCCTTCATGCCCCTCTCAAACCACCTATTTTCTTTATCCAGAATATGGACATTCTGGTCCTCAAAAGAATGTCCTTTGTCCACAAGGTGTAGGTGTACTGCGGAGTCTTGTCCAGAGGCGGCCGCTCTTCTGTGTTGGGCCATGCGTCTGTGGAGAGGTTGTTTGGTTTCTCCAATATAAAGATCAGAGCATTCCTCGCTGCACTGAACAGCATATACCACTCCGCTCATATTCGGTCTGGGGGTTTTATCTTTAGGATGCACTAGCCTCTGTTTAAGGGTTTGGTTTGGCTTGAAATGTACTGAAATGTACTTTATTTCCTGTAAAACTTTTTGCGTTTCACCAGCAAGTGCTGATAAATTTGAAATCACCATTAAAACATAACTTTAGTCCCCGAAATGTTCCTTTGTGGAAAAACAGAGTTATTTATATTCTGTGTTTATGGAAAACAGGATGGAGACGGGAATCTGGTCAATTAGTCATTTATTGGATGATTAAGGCAAAAAATATGAAGATTTAATTCATAAAAATAATCTAATCTGTATAAAAAAAGATTATGAATAAATTATGAAAATAATACCAAATGTATTTATTTAGCTCATAAAAAACTATTATGATACAAAGTAAGTGATTAAATTACAGAATATTGTAATAAATGGTTTAGATTTACTAGATAAAAAATGCAATAATAAGTTTTTAAGGCAACATTTAGTAAAACAGACAAACTCTGGACTGGTTAGAAGGACATTTATGGATAACTATGAAAAGAAAGACCAAATAAATTTAATGTCAAAGTTTTTAAAATTGGAGCTCCCACCAAAATATAAAGAAATACATTTTAAAACTCTAATTATATTTATCCCTCAAATGATCTGATCAGAAATAGATTTAAAATTAAACGTAACTGCTATATGTGATGAAAGCGAAACAACAGAAGATCTTTTCTTTCTCTGTCAAACTATCAAATAAATGTGTGAATCTTTGCTCTCTGCTGACTAGTAAACTCATAAACACGCCTCCTTCTCATCACAAACTGTCTTATATGGTTTTTATCTGAAAACAAAAGAGATGAATATTTTATTAATAGAATTATCATCAAAATTTTATATACATAAATGCAGATTTGGAAAAGCTAAATAAGCTTATATGGTTTGAATTTAAACAGGATCCATCTTCTAAATCTTTCCTTCGACAAAATTCAGAAACCAAAAGCTAAAAGTTTTTCATATCACCTCTCTAAGTTATCTCAGCAATCCCTCCATACAAATGAAAGAATAATGCTTACTTGGCTTTTCTTTATTATTGTAATTTTTTTTCTTTGTGTGTGTTTTGTATTTTTATTATCTTTATTTATGCATTTATCCTTCATTATAATTCTGTTAGATTCGACGTATATAATTATAGATATCCTTGATTTTCGACAAACAGGACAAACAACTCAGAAAGTGCAGAAAGACCCGGGAATCGGACCTGAAACCTTCTTGCTGCGAGGCAGCAGTGCTTCCCGCTGCAGCACCGTGCAGCCTGTTAAACGAACCACCCGGGGGAAACGATTGAGTTCAAAGCAGCAGGTAGACGGCGCCTTTTGGACTTGATGAACCAAACGGGTCCAACAGATTTTCAGCTGCTTTCTGCAGCGTTCACTGATGTCATCAGTTGCTGGTCGGCTGAATAAATCTGTGGATTTAGTCTATCTATGATGGCCTGACAGTACTGTTGCCATGGTTATTTTCACACATGGTGGGAGCATTCTGGGTGTTTATAATAATTTTCATTTGTATTGAATGGTGGACGATAATACAGGTGAGCAAGGGAACAGATCCTGACTGTGACTTATACATCTGACTGTGCAAGTTTCAAATGTTTTGTTACCACTAAGTTTTAGTTAGGAAGCTGCAATAGATGCATGAAACCCCCGGTGAAGCAGAGGTAAGAAAAGCTAACATATGGACTATTAAAAAACTACAGAATATTTATGTGTAATTGCACCAACCTCTTCGAATCTGGCACGTCCAAACTGGGTCTAGAATTTGTTCCTTGTTTTCTGATTCAGCATACAGCAGGGTAAGATCAAAGGTCCTGTTTGGGTTTCCGATATACACCTCGTAGAAGTTTGGGACTGAGCCGTCATATCTGAAGGTTAATTTCTGTGCAGAAACATCAGATTAAAGCAGAGAGTGAAGTACAGCGGATCATAACGTCCGTCACCATGGCTGTGTGCTTTTGTCCTGGTTAGTTTCATCACTCGGACCAGAGACCGTATTCTGGTAAATTAATAAATAAATGAACCACAAAAGTTCTGTTGCAAAGTGAGTACTTTCATATGAAAGGTAATGAAATATACATATAATGGTCTCTGAGAGATCTGTAAACACAACTTGCCATCAGAACATCTAATCTTCTTAGGTTCTGAGATCTACACTAGTTCATTCACACATGTATAGCCGCCACCTATTGGTGATAATTAATTAGCCCATATTAACATCATTGCAACACATACCTGTGGTTGATCTCAGCTGTTTCTAAAGAAGCTTTAAGAGTAAATTTCTTCTGCATCTTTAGGGACCGCTCAGGTCGAGGCTTTTTGATCAATTCAAAGCCAGATGATGATTCTTCCTTATCCACCGACTGCAAAAAGAAACAAAGGACTTTTTTTCCCCGAGTTTGAATGTTTAATGGCGAAACTAATAATGAGATGCCTGTGTGAGGACTCAGTCATCGGGGTCATGGCTACCACAAACAGCCTTAAATTGGAAGGCCAGATCAGTGTGTAGTTAGAGCTCTGACGTATTTAGGCAGCATGGGGGTCCATCCTCCTGAACACATTCCAGATCAGATGCTAACCGCGTCCTGAGCCCCCTGCCGTTCACCATGATGACACACGACTGCGTCCCCAGGTTCACCACCGATCACATGGTGAAGTTTGCAGACGACACCACGGCGGTGGGCCTCATCAGAGACGACAACGACCTGGACTACAGAGAGGAGGTGGAGCAGCTGGTGGAGCAGAGATAACAGCCTGATCCTGAAGGTGGAGAAGACCAAGGAGATCATGGTGGACTTCAGGAAGAAGCGGCCTGACCACGCTCCACTGCTCATCAACAGCTCAGCTGTAGAGGTGGTCAGCAGCACCACATTCATCACAGACACCCTCACCTGGACTGGAAACACCACCTCACTGGTCCAAAGGGCCCAGAAGCGCTTGGACTTCCTGCCCCCCCCATCCTCCCCACCTTCTCCAGAAGCACCATAGAGAGCGTTCTGAGCAGCTGTCTCACTGTGTGGTGTGGAGGCTGCAGCGCCTCAGACTGGAAGAAGGTGAGAACAGCAGAGAGGATCATGGGGGCTCCTCTTCCCTCCATTAAAGACATTTCATCCCAGCGCTGCGTGTCCCGTGACATCATCAATGACCCCTCACCCCCCCACCATGGACTGTTCTCCCTGCTGCCCTCTGGGAAGAGGCTTCCCAGCATTCAATGCAGGACCAGCAGGTTCTGCAGCAGCTTCTTCCCCACCACCATTTAAAAATTTAAAAAAATTTGTGTTAGAACTGTAAATATAGTCATATGTTTATATTACTATTTTTTATGTATTATTACTGTTTTCTAGGCTGCACTTGAAATTGTCTGGAGCTGATTTAAACGAAATTTCTTCTCGTATAAACATTTTGTATAAACTTGTTTATACAAAATGACAAAATAAATCTAAATCTAAAAAAAGTGTATAAAGATTTCTAGAAATCTCAGAAGGTATTGTTAATATTCTCAGGATCCTGTAATGTATTACCAACTGAGTCTGTAACTGCTAATATAGTCATTTTGTCTTCCTGACTTATTGCTATGTTCAAAGTTTTTTATTCCAGGTCTTTGTATTAAAAATGTATTTTGTGCTTTTGTTCTGAGCCTGACAGAGAAAGGCCAGTTTCCAGACAAGAGAAAAAGTTGTGACGACATTCAGCTCTTTCCCAAACAGCCTCATAACGAACCAGCTGCTAAACCAAGAGCATTAATAGTAACCGATGATGCTGCAAATGAGATTAAACGCTTCTGCACCAACAGCAACACATATAGTGAATGATGGCTGTTCCATGCTTTCTGAAATCTCATACAGGATTATAAAAGATCACGGAATTAAACCCGACCTTGAAGAACTTAACTATTGACATCAGAGCACTGAATGGCTTTGGGTTCATATGGTAACTTTATCAGAACTGATTCTGTCCAGGAAAAACTGGCGCCTCAAAGGGAAGATAAAGATGGTTCTAAAATCTCAGTTTTTATACGTTTCGGAAAAATAGACCAAACAGGAAAAACAGAAGTAAACCATCCAACTAAAAATCTATACAATGTGGACCTTAACCAGCTAAAGAGACTATATTGACCAAAGTGTTTACACTGGCTTTAATTAACATCCATCAAACTGCCATCAACACCTTTGTTTCTAGATGTTGGAGCTTGGCCTGTTTTCCAGTGTAGTCCTGTTTCTCTGACTGTGACTAACTGGATGTGCTCTCTTCATCCTCTGACATGGGAGCTGGCTCGGAGCTCGTCTGCCTGGCTGTTTGTTTCCTGGACGGGGCCGCCTGTGGAGCTGGTTGCATCTATGCTTCTTTTTCTATGTCTGCTTCTGTCTCCTTGAACCCCAGTGGGCCTCAGCAGATGGCCGCTCACACTGAGCCTGGTTCTGCTGGAGGTTTCTTCCTGTTCAAAGGGAGTTTTTCCTCTCCACTGTCGCTACAAGCATGCTTAGTGTGAGGGATTGCTGAAGAGTCAATGAGTCGATGCAATCAGCTGGTTTTCCTTAGATAGAAAACTTTGAATCAATCTGACTGGATGATCTTTATTTCAAAAAAGCACCTAGTGGCAAATCTAGTGACTGTTTTCTATGTTGATGGAGACTTTGGTGACATAAAGCAACAAACTCTGTCCTCCTGATTATCAGCCTCCCTCATCATGCAGGGCGGGCTGCCTGCGCTGCAGCAGATAGTAACTCTTTCCGCTTTGAATCCAGATTGCAAATAAAATGTTTGAAGCTGCTGCTAATCCTGTCCTAGGTTGCAAAATCGAAAAATTAAATTGATTTTTATCTAACAGTGTCTTTAGGGATTCAGGGTCTCCTGCAGCTGTAGGCTGATTTTAATCCAGGCCTCCTTCCACTAAGCTGAATGATTCTAAGCTCCTTGTTCAGCTACTCTTTCAAAGCCATTTAAATGATAACAAGGAAAATATAAGTAATAGAAATCAGAAGAAAAACCTGTTTTAGAAAATGTTCTTAGTTTATTCCCATGTGTCAGAGCTGCGCTTTGGACACGTCACTTGATTAGAATCAGGAATGAAAGCAGGAGATCAGTTACCTGTTGAAGAGCAGGATCATTTGGGATCAGGTAGACACAGAGTTTGAGGAACGGCTGGAGGGGCTGATAATAAATCAACAATTTGGTGTTAACTTTAGATCCAAATATGGAATATATCAGAGCTGCCACAGTAGAGAAAACTGGATCCATTAGCCCGACATGCGTTGCTGTGACAGTAGATACTTTCTCCAAAACATCTCCGCAGTCATTCATGTGCAGGACAGAAAAGTTCTCTGACAAGTTGGGAATTTCATCTGCAGAGAGCACAGAATATTACCGGTAATGAGAAACACTGCTTCGGATTATGAACAAACCGTTTATTCATGTTTTCCTACCGATACAGATCCAGTGAGGCAGGAAAACCTCATTTATCTTCCCAGAAATTCAATTCAATTCAATTCAGTTTATTTATATAGCGCCAAATTCACAACACATGTCATCTCAAGGCACTTTACAGTTCAACCAGATCATACAGTCAAATTGATACAAAGTTTTCTATCTAAGGAAAACCAGTTGATTGCATCGACTCAAATACAATCCCCCACACTAAGCATGCTTGTAGCAACAGTGGAGAGGAAAAACTCCCTTTTAACAGGAAGAAACCTCCAGCAGAACCAGGCTCAGTGTGAGCGGCCATCTGCCGAGGCCGACTGGGGTTCAAGGAGACAGAAGCAGACATAGAAAAAGCAGCTGTAAAAGGCGGCCCCGTCCAGGAAACACACAGCCAGGCAGACGAGCTCCAAGGCAGCTCCCATGCCAGAGGACGAAGAGAGCACATCCACTCAGTCACGGTCAGAGAAACAGGACCACACTGGAAAACAGGCCGATCTCCAACATCTATTAACAAGGGTGTTGATAGAAGCAGCACAGCTGATGTTTTTTTCCAGGATGACGTCACAGCCAAACAGGAACAGACGAGGCAAAGCTACTCTGAGGAAAAGCAGACAGAGCAGAAGGTTAGAGATTGAACTAACAGATTCTGCAGAATAGGAGAACAGAGAGAGAATGAAGCAGAATGATGAAATGGGGGTCCCTATGTCCTCCAAAAGTCTAAGCCTATAGCAGCATAACTATAGAGATAGCTCAGGATAACCTGAGCCACCCTAACTATAAGCTTTATCAAAAAGGAAAGTTTTAAGCCTAGCCTTAAAAGTAGACAGGGTGTCTGCCTCACGGACTAAAACTGGTAGTTGGTTCCACAGGAGAGGAGCCTGATAACTAAAAGATCTGCCTCCCATTCTACTTTTAGAAATTCTAGGAACCACTAGTAAACCTGCAGATTGAGAGCGAAGTGCTCTGTTAGGAACATAAGGAACAATCAGATCTCTGATATAAGATGGAGCTTGGCCATTTAAGGCTTTATATGTGAGAAGGAGGATTTTAAATTCTATTCTTGAATGACGGTGATGTTGAGTAAAGGACCTGCAGGTGTGAATCCTGTGGTTTTCATCCTCTCCATGTTTCCCTGCCAGGAGCAGAACTGGAACTTAAAGCCTACTTTGTCCTTGCAGACCCATCGCAGAGCAGAAACGCTGCATTCAAACTGTCCCGCCGCAGATGAGAAGCTAAAGGATCGTAGCCAAATTATTATGTTGCATCAAATATGAAGCAATGATTGATTTTCTGAGGCTGCTGTATCACAGAAGAAAACTGATCTTAAGCTCAAAATGTTTCCTTCCATGTAAGCTGACATCCTGGTCCTAAACAAGTGGAGGAGAAATGATGACCTGGAACATCCAGTCTGGTCCTGATTTTGACTGGGACACTTTAAAATGCTCCCGTTTGTGTAAAGTTCAGAGATTAATGGGATAAAACTCACTTTTTAATAACTTTACCTTTTAGTTCTGTTTATTTTTGAATTTCTATGCAATATACCGGTAATATTAATATAACCCCATTTGGTCAAAGAGAAATGATTCTATTTCTCTGATTAAATAAAGTGTCTCCATAGCATCACTTTATAACACACTATGACACACATTACATTATGTCACACATTATTGACAGGAGGTGAATTTATCTTTTAATCATCCAAACAAAGTAAAGTCAATTTCAGTCAAAAAAGCTTTTAAATCTTCAATCAAATCAAGTTTATTTTTCAAAATAATTTTTTTTTAAATCAACTCACTCATTTTTTTTCTCACAAAGTTTAAAATTAACTGCAAAGCAGAAAGTTTGGTTTGCAAATATTGAATCTCTTTGGGTATAAATCTCTAACTTTAAATTTTGAGTCTGTTCTTTTATCTGGACTTGATGAAGTTTGAGGGCAAAGACCAGGACCAAGCTGGGCGGGGCTTAAGGAGTCTGAATTCAGGGGCTGCGTCCTGTGAAGGCATGATTCGTCGCCATCTTTGTTATTTGCTGGGTAGCTACAGCCGTAGGGGACAGCGGGCCGCTGTGATAAAATATCCTATGAAGCTCAGCGAGGAGATGTCTCCTCACAGAGAGATGTTGAGTCCACTATTTTTTCCTCCACTAGACATTCGAACACTCGTCTAAAATGGAGCAACGTCTATACGGTGCCGTATACAGTAGTTAGGGCGGACATTCGGTCGTAGCCAGAATCACGTGACCAACGGGGAGCAAAAAGCAGCGATCATCTCAAGTACATCCCGCTGCAGCCTGCGGGAAGACGGGGTTTGACATCAAGCCTCGCCTTTCCGCAGGCTGCAGCAGGATGCTTCTCGATCATCTGTTCAAATGGTCAGTTAACTGACTTCCCTATAAAGTCCACTATATAGTCATGAGTGGCGTCTTTGTTGACTTTATACTAAATAAAAAATGATATTAAAACAGCAGTGAGAGGTTCGGTGTCCATTCTTTTCCTGCATTTTGTCGACTGTTACGGTTGCTAGGCAACAGTGCGTTTGGGCGGTGAAAGCCAGGGAAGGCTGGACCTGTTTGGATCCGTAGCCTAAACTCTTCCGGTCTCCGTATTCTTATGGTCCTGGAAGATCCAGTCCAGATGGAGGAAGCAGCCTCTGAATGCTGGAGACACAGACTGAGTGAGCAGCAGGAAAACGCCGGCTGTCTTCCATTGTTCCATTTCAGACGCCGCGCTAAACTGTTTAAGGGAGACTCTGATCAGTGTCGGGCTTTTCTCTCCCAGTGTGGAATTATTTACAGTTTTAGCCGTCGCCGTTTCCTGCTGATAGAGCTACGCTAGCCTATCAGCAGCCTAGGAGCCGTCTTGCAACATATACTAAACTAATTTTATTTTATTGTAAGTGATTCCTCAAACAAATAACTGTTTATATTTATACAAATATTGGAATGATACCAACAAATATCCTGATAATTGGATCCCAGCCCAAAGCTCCTGATATTTTACTTGTAGGTTGGAACCTCCTCCTCATTTGTGATTGTCGGTTCAGCTTTCGTCCATCCGCTGGCTTCTTCCTGCTGATTAGAACCGTTTTTATGATTAAGCTCAAATTTTGTGTCTTAATAAACAAGTGGAGGTTTGGCACCAAAGCTAGAAGGTTACCTCAACATTTCCACTTTTCTCTGGAGGTTCAGACGGAGATTCTTGGAGCAGAAATTAGATAAACGGTTAGAAAAACGTTTTGCTGAGATTTATGATCTGAATGTACAATGATTTGATGATCTGATCAGATGCTCCCTCTGGAGTCCAACCAGACATTACAGGTTCCTACATCTGCTTTATGAGGCTGCTATGATGAACATCCTGCTGTGGTTCAGCCTGGGCAGCTTCACCATGTTCTAATGCAGAGGTGGAGAAGCTGAAGGAGGCCTTATGGGAGGAGGAGCAGCAACATGGCTGCCTCCAAATGGAGCATCAGAAAATACAGTTAGGTCGTTTTACTGAGCTGAGATTCAGTCCTGCTTACAGGCTGCTTCTTCCTAGAAAGGACCAGCTAAGAACATCGACGTGGTTCTCCACATCTATTAGGAAAAAAACCCAAACTCTAAGCGGTTTTAGAGGATTTCTAGCCTCGTGAGACCATCCTGATCTCGCAAGCTATCAAGGTTTCACTCGCAGATCAGTCTGGATGTTGGGATCTGGAGGTCTGTCCACCTTTCTCCAGCAGAGGGCGCCCTAGGTCTCCTGGAGCTGAAGCTGACAACCACACCTGCGGCTCATTGGAGACCAGCATTTAAGCAGCGGCAGGACAACACTCTAGTGCCAGAGTGTTAAGCCAGTTACGGTTAGCAAGCCTGAGCCAACCAGCCTGTCTGATTCTCTGACTCCCCTGAAAACCTGACTTTGAACCTAACCAGTCTTTGTCCGCTCTGCTTCCTAGGAAGAACCTGACTGAACACTGGAACTCTGGAAGAGTTTCTCAGCTGAAACCTGCCTGCCTGCTCTCAGAAGCACATCTGTGGATCAAACTATCTGAACCTGCCTGTCCGCTCTCAAGAATAGAACTGGAAGAAACTCAGAACCTGAACACTGACAAGTCTGAAGTCGAGCCCTGCCGTTGCCTAGCCCTCTGCCGACCATCTGCCTCTGGACCCTCCTGGTTCCCTCCCTCTGCTGTTCAGCCTGAACCACATCACAGGTACAGAGCTGCACAACTCCTCTGACAAGATCAACTGCATCCTGGCTAACCTAACTATCCCTCTCTGCAGAGAACCCTGTGTGACCAGTCCTGGATCTGTTTCCCAGCATCAAGTTTATTAACATTGTGTTTTCTCAATAAACATTCAAACTTTTCATCTGACTCCGTGTGTGTTCTGCATGTGGGTTAGGAACCTTAATCCCATCATGACAGAACACTCTGGCCAACAACCTAACCCAGCAGTTCACCCGGAGGATGATTGAGGAACAAGGAGCTCAAATTCAAGGCCACGACTACACCCTCCGTGAGTTTAACACACGTTTGGAACAAACAAATCAAACTTTACAGGAATTAGCCGGCTATCTCCGAAATGCTACTCCCAGAGCGGAGCCAGCTCAACTTCCGGTTCCGGAGCCAGATCCGCCTCAAATGTCAGAACCTGTTCCGTCATTTCCGGAATTCCGTCCGTCACTTCCTGAGAAGTTCTCAGGCATTACGAGTAAGTGCAAAGGATTTTTATTCCAGTGTAAATTCCGGTTGGAATGAATGCGCGCTCAAAGGCGCCTATTTTAAGGCTCTAGACGAAGAAATAAAAGATGTACTCGCCACAATCGACGAACCAGCTACCCTGGAGGAATAAATCAAATTAACAATTTGTCTGGATAATCAACTTCGAGCCAGGGCCAGGTCAAAACTAAGGAGCCATGTTTTCTCTGTAACTGCCCCAATGACTAACAGCTCTTCTGTTTTTTCTGCACCACCTGAGACTGATTCCAGACCACAGAATCGTAACCAGTCAGCTTCTGTTCCTGCTTTTTTAACCCATGGCGTCTCTCCTTCCACAGAAACCTCTGATGTAGAGCCTATGCAGATTGGTCATACCAGACTCACAACTGAGGAAAGGCAAAGGAGATACAAGGGGAACTTATGCATGTATTGTGGTAAGCCCGGCCATTTTGTCTCCACCTGCCCAGCTAAGGTAAAAGCCCGCCCGTCAGGTGGTGCCAGAGGAAATGAGGAGCCTGGCGGACCATCTGCAATCTGAAAAGTCCACTCATCTACTGCTACCAGCTACCTTTTTTGTTTCTGATCAGACTCTCACCTTATCAGCCTTTATTGATTCAGGTTGTGAGAAGAATTTAATTGACTCTAACCTGGTTCAACAGTTAAACATTGAAACCATCCCTCTGAAGAAACCTCTTAGAGTCTCAGCCATTGATGGAAAGAAATTACATCAAGTTACACACCAGACTCTGCCACTTGAACTCCTTATCTCCGGAAACCACAGAGAGACTATAACCTTTTTTTGTTTTTCCATCCGCCTGTTCATCTCTAGTTCTGTGATATGAGTGGTTAGAGCTACACAACCCTCATAAATTGGGCAAAGAGACACATTGAATCGTGGTCTGCCTCCTGCCATGTCTCCTGTCTCCGTTCCGCAGTACCTGCCATTCAGTCTCCAAGTAATCAAAGGGAACCAGACCCACCCGATTTATCCTCCGTACCATCTGATTATCACGATCTGGCACCAGTCTGCAGCAAGGTCAGTGCATTGTCTCTTCCTCCCCACAGACCATAGGACTTTGCTATAGATCTGTTGCCTGGGGCTCCCCTTCCTAGCAGCCGACTCTTCAATATCTCCAGACCAGAGAGAGAAACAATGGAGAAGTACATTAATGAGTCTCTAGCTGCTGGAATTATTTGGCCGTCTTCATCCCCTCTTGGTGCAGGCTTCTTTTTTGTTGGAAAGAAGGATGGATCTCTCCGACCCTGTATAGATTACAGAGGACTCAACCAAATAACCATTAAAAACAAGTATCCCTTGCCTCTGCTCGCATCTGCGTTTGAACCCGTTCAAGGGGCTACTGTTTTCACCAAACTGGATTTAAGAAATGCCTACCATCTTCTCAGAATAAGAGAGGGAGATGAGTGGAAGACGGCCTTCAAAACCCCTCTAGGTCAATTCGAATACCTAGTTATGCCTTTTGGTCTGACTAATGCTCCCGCCTGTTTTCAAGAAACAATGGAGAAGTACATTAATGAGTCTCTAGCTGCTGGAATTATTTGGCCGTCTTCATCCCCTCTTGGTGCAGGCTTCTTTTTTGTTGGAAAGAAGGATGGATCTCTCCGACCCTGTATAGATTACAGAGGACTCAACCAAATAACCATTAAAAACAAGTATCCCTTGCCTCTGCTCGCATCTGCGTTTGAACCCGTTCAAGGGGCTACTGTTTTCACCAAACTGGATTTAAGAAATGCCTACCATCTTCTCAGAATAAGAGAGGGAGATGAGTGGAAGACGGCCTTCAAAACCCCTCTAGGTCAATTCGAATACCTAGTTATGCCTTTTGGTCTGACTAATGCTCCCGCCTGTTTTCAAGCCCTGGTTAACGACGTGTTGAGAGATTTTCTCAACATCTTTGTTTTTGTTTATATTGATGACATCCTGATTATTTTAAGAACCTGTCAGACTACAAGAAACATGTTCGTTTGGTTCTCCAAAGACCTCTCGAAAACAAACTTTTTGTCAAGGCTGAAAAATTTGAATTTCACCAACCTTCTGTCACCTTTCTAGGATTTGTGCTCGAGGGCGGGCAGGTGAAGCCATCGGGGGACAAGATTAAAGCAGTTCTGGACTGGCCTACCCCCGAGAATCGCAAGCAACTCCAAGCGTTTTTGAGTTTTGCAAACTTTTACAGGAGGTTCATAAGAAATTACAGTCAGACAGCCCAGCCACTCACTGCTTTGACATCGGTCAAGAGAACTTTCCACTGGTCTGCTGAGGCTGAGGCTGCATTCAATAAACTTAAGGCTCTTTTTTCCAGTGCACCCATTCTTATTCAACCAGACCCCTCTAAGCAGTTCATTTTAGAGGTGGATGCATCTGACTCTGGAGTGAGAGCAGTCTTATCCCAGCAATCTGACTCTGATCACAAGACTCACCCATGCGCCTTCTTTTCTCGCAGGCTTTCTCCAGCTGAGCAAAACTACAATGTTGGTCGATAGAGAACTTCTGGCTATCAAATTGGCTCTGGAGGAGTGGCGGCATTGGCTAGAGGGCGCAGAACACCCCGTGTTGGTATGGACTGACCACAAAAACCTATCTTATATCCAGTCTGTCAAAAGGTCAAACCCACGTCAATCCCGTTGGTCTCTGTTCTTTTCTCGGTTTAACCTGATAATTTCCTACAGACCCGGATCCAAGAATGTTAAACCTGACTCTCTTTCTCGCCTGTACTCACCTGATAAACCTGAAACACCTGATTCTGTCCTTCCTGCCAGCTGCACCGTAGCAACCGTTTCCTGGGAAATCTCCGACTTGATAAATCTTGCCTAGTTTCTGAACCTGACCCAGGAAATGGACCTCCACACTGAACGTACGTACCCACCTCTGTAAGATCTACACTAATCCATTGGATGCATTTTGCCAAGTTTTCAGCCCATCCAGGTGTTAGCAGAACCATTGCCCTCATCACTCGCCGTTTCTGGTGGCCGTCCCTCCACAAGGACGTGAAGGAATACGTTCTGGCCTGTCCCATCTGCGCCAGAAACAAACCATCTCATCAGCCTCCTTCTGGTCTGCTTCACCCCTTACCTGTTCCGTCTCGTGCCTGGTCCCACATAGCGGTGGATTTTGTAACCGGCCTCCCTGTCTCCAAGGGTATGACTACAATACTCACAATCATTGACCGCTTCTCTAAGACCTGCCATCTTGTTCCCCTCAGGAAGCTCTCAACAGCCTTCCAAACAGCTCAACTGCTCATAAAACACGTTTTCCCACTCCACGGCATACCTCAGGAGATCCTGTCCGACAGGGGCCCCCAGTTCACAGCTCAGGTCTGGAAGAACTTCTGTTCTGCACTTAACTCCAAAATATCACTTTCCTCAGGTTACCACCCTCAATCCAATGGCCAGATAGAAAGAATGAATCAAGAACTAGAATCCACTCTCCATTGTCTGACTTCCACCAACCCGACCGATTGGAGTCAATTCCTACCCTGGGTAGAGTATGCTCACAATTCTCATAAATCATCTGCAACCGGTCTGTCTCCATTTGAAATCTCCCTAGGTTACCAGCCACCACTCTTTCCTGCCGATGAAAAAGAAATCTCTGTTCCGTCTGTACACCATCACATCCGCCGCTCCCATAAGATCTGGAAAGACACCATCTCAGCCCTGAACCGGACATCTGCACAAAATAAAAGATTCTCCGACCGTAAACGACGCCCAGCTCCAATCTACTCTCCCGGACAACAGGTTTGGCTTTCCACACGAGATATTCCACTCAAGTCCATGTCCCGCAAACTCTCTCCCAGGTTAATTGGTCCATACAAAATAGCCTCAGTCATCAACCCGTCTGCCGTTCGCCTGCATCTGCCACCTTCTCTCCGAATTCATCCGACATTCCACATCTCGCATATCAAGCCTGTTCTGACCAGCCCTTTGTGCCCTCCATCCGACTCCCCTCCACCCGCCCGGGACATTGATGGTCACCCTGCCTTCACCGTTCGCCGGATCGTGGACTCCCGTCGCCGGGGCCGCGGTTGGCAATACCTGGTCGACTGGGAGGGCTACGGTCCAGAGGGCCGCACGTGGGTTCCGGGATCCTTCATCCTGGATCCCTCCCTGATCGACGACTACCGTGAGTCTCTGCCTTCTACATCCTCTGGACCGCCAGGAGCCGGTCGTTGAGGGGGGGTACTGTTGGGATCTGGAGGTCTGTCCACCTTTCTCCAGCAGAGGGCGCCCTAGGTCTCCTGGAGCTGAAGCTGACAACCACACCTGCGGCTCATTGGAGACCAGCATTTAAGCAGCGGCAGGACAACACTCCAGTGCCAGAATGTTAAGCCAGTTACGGTTAGCAAGCCTGAGCCAACCAGCCTGTCTGATTCTCTGACTCCCCTGAAAACCTGACTTTGAACCTAACCAGTCTTTGTCCGCTCTGCTTCCTAGGAAGAACCTGACTGAACACTGGAACTCTGGAAGAGTTTCTCAGCTGTAACCTGCCTGCCTGCTCTCAGAAGCACATCTGTGGATCAAACTATCTGAACCTGCCTGTCCGCTCTCAAGAAGAGAACTGGAAGAAACTCAGAACCTGAACACTGACAAGTCTGAAGTCGAGCCCTGCCGTTGCCTAGCCCTCTGCCGACCATCTGCCTCTGGACCCTCCTGGTTCCCTTCCTCTGCTGTTCAGCGTGAACCACATCACAGGTACAGAGCTGCACAACTCCTCTGACAAGATCAACTGCATCCTGGCTAACCTAACTATCCCTCTCTGCAGAGAACCCTGTGTGACCAGTCCTGGATCTGTTTCCCAGCATCAAGTTTATTAACATTGTGTTTTCTCAATAAACATTCAAACTTTTCATCTGACTCCGTGTGTGTTCTGCATGTGGGTTAGGAACCTTAATCCCATCATGACACTGGAGACTCTCCGTTAAAGAAAATTTGGAGCCGTTCACCAAACGAACGTCCAATCAGCGTTGGCTTTGAGGCGGGTTGAGGTGTGACGCAACGAGAAGCGCGACAGTTCAGTCTAAAGAACATGGCGGCTTCAGCCAATGAAACTAGCGTTAGCGTGGCTATCGAGCAAGTTTTTTCGGAATTACAGAGTATTTCTTCGCTGAAAGAAGAGCAAAACACTGCTCTGGAGGCTTTTCTCAGAGGAAAAGATGTTTTTGCTCTTCTCCCGACTGGTTTCAGCAAGAGTAGCCTGGCTTCTGGTTGTGTTTTCGTCGTCACTCTGTTAGTACGTCATATGCGTCGTTGATCTGATTGGTTTATTTGGCCCGTCTATCACCAACGTAGGCCAATCAGCTAACCAGTATTTTCGCCCCTTCCCAAAATTACTTCAACGGAAGGTTTCCAGATGGATATGAGGAGCAAATCCATCTGGCGGAGTCAGGTTAGAGGATTTCATCCTGTGTGAGAAACTAAAACCTTTTTCAGGGAATAAATCCTGGAACAAACTCTAATGTGGTTGATCTGCATAAACATTCATAGTTGGTCAATCGATTCGGGTTATTTAGGGCGATGCTGATTATTTAACATCAGTCTAACCAAACGCTGGTATCTGCTGCCCATTGTTTTGGGCCTTTAGGTTTATTCTTCCTCCATTATTCTGAGTCCGAATGTAAACAAGAAATAAAGTCAAATAAAGAAAAAATGTTGAATCATAATCGGAGGAAGCAGCACTATGTGTCATTCAGGCACAAATGCTGAATGCAGGAATCAGATGAAGCTGATCAGAGAAAAATCACTGATATCAGCCCAAAATGGCGGCCGGCTAAAGCATAGGTCCACCTGTCATGCTGGTTGGTCATTATCCCTTCAATCAGAAACACTGAGTGACCGTAGCACTAGCAGAACTGTGGAACAGGACTCACTTTCAGGTGCAGAGCTGCTGGAGGACAACTTCTGCTGGAGATCAGTCCTGTTTATCTCCTGTAAAATCTCCATGGCAACCTGTAAGCTTTGTTTTTGCAGCAGCTGCACCATCACCTCCGCGAGGTTCAGTCTCTCTGTCATCTCATCCTGGTGTCTGAGGAGTAACTTGAAGTCTCTTTTCCAGACCCGCCGCTGGAGAATCCTCCTGAAAACTTCCAGCTGCGTGTCGCTGAGATCCATGAACACTTCCAGAAGTTTCCTGACATCTGCTTCATTGGTTTCCTGAAAGTTAAATAAACCAGCAGTCACTTTCAAAGCCGCTTTAAACCAGTTCAAGTTCATTTCACGGCTCCTTCAATTCTTATCTATTTATGATTTGCTGTGTTTGACTCATTCTGTATAAAACAAATTAGTGTAGAAATATTCTTATAATCAAATCTTATCTATAAACTCTTAAGGTTGTGTAGGAAAATGAGTTTGAAGTTGGTGTGTGATTTTAGAGGTTAATAAAGGGCTTAGTTCAGTTGAACATTATTAAAAATCCTTAATTCAGTTTTTAGATTCAATTTAGTTACACTGAACCACCTCATTCAGAACAAAACAGAAATAAGTAAAAATGTCTCATTAAGTGTTTAACCCTTAAATTGAGCATTTAAATAAGTTGATTTGCAAATTGAACGGACATTTTTACTCCTAAAATAAGATAATTTTGTATGATTATTTTATTTTAGGAGTAAAAATCCTCATTCCATTGCCAATACACCTGAAATAAGACAATTCAATTGTTTTTACTTTAGTTTAAATGTACATTTATTTTTTCCAATGGCAAAGTGTCTCACTTCTCTCCTCAATTCAATAAAAAAAAAAAAGATTAATTTATATTTACCTACATTGTTTTCGCGGTTCAGCAGATAATTTCTCAGGTCTCAAAAAATCCCTTTAAATGAATTTAAAGGTAGTTACGTTACGATGAAACAAAGTTCCGTTAAACTTTAAAATTGATCAAACTCTAAATCATTGGTCCTGGGATTATTGGATGTGAGCGTTGTGTGAATGTGCGTCCGCGTTTTTTTGTTTTTTCTGTGGTGCTAGTGGGGGTACTAGGGTGAGAAGGCATGATTGAGCCTGTGAGTTTTTTTCTCCCAAATACATCTCAAGTCTCCGCCAAGTGCGGAGCCCATTCCCCCCGTCCTGCTCTCACATCGCTGGCTGGCGCCTGGGCTCGCTGGTGGAGCTCGGGGTTAGGGGGTGGATGCCCGGGTGGCTGCTGGCTCATTCCTGGCGGCTTCTCCGCGGGGCCCGTCTGGCCGCGGCCTTGCTGGGGCTCCTGTCTGGGGGTCGAGTGCCCCGGGGGCCTCGGATCCCTGGGGCCCAGGGCCGGATTCACTTCGGGGTGGCTGGCTGCCGGAGGAGCCTGCGGACTCGTCCCCGCGACTCCCGAGAGCTCCGGCATTGCGGTGGCTGGGGGGCTTCCTGGGGGCCGTCTCTCCTCCTGCCTTGGTGGGGGTCTGATTTCCTGGGCTGGCCCCTCCTTGGTGCCTTCACTCTTGGGGTCCCTTTGGGCATCTGGGGCTGTGGGTCTCCCGGCGCTGGACTCAGTGCTCTGGGGGGGGGGGGGCTCTTCGGCTTTCCACAACCACTATTGAGCATTTTCTCTATGGATAAACTTTACATGCACAGGTTCACCCTCACTAACAACTACAGGTGTTTGGTTCCAGGTACTCAGAGATTCACTTCCACACAGAAAGCCCATATTCTGATATTCAGGTAACACAGAATACATGTCAGATTAAATAATACTACTTCAGCGATAGCAAGGTGTTACTTTATTGTATGTCTCGTTCCATGTCTGTTGGTTGTTCTGTTCTTTTTCTCTTTGCAGACTGAAGATGTTTTATCATTATCTCCCTTTTATCTCCTCTTTCTTTCATCTTTTCTCCTTTTTCTCGGTTTTCCTTACCTGTTCTATTTACATTGCAGTGTCCATATATTCTGTAAAACTCCCTGCATAATTATAATAATGCAATTTATATGCATGAATCAAGCGGAACACTATGGCGATAGCCGTACTGCTCCACTGGTGAAAGTAAAATCTGTTGGGCTCTTTTTGGCATCAAGACAATTATTCTTATTGCCACATTGCCAGACAGGACACTGTTTAAAAAAAATAATAAAGCAGTTTGGGGACTTTAGACATTTTTATTGCTTAAATAAAAATAAAAAGTAAAAGTTAGGAGTGTTTTTAAAAACATTGATATAAAGTTGGGTAAACGGCCAAAAAAGCTGTGAAGGTGATATTTGCATAAACCAACGGGTCTGAAACAACAGAAGAAACAATCAAAACACTGCTGGAAAAACGTTAAACTCAAAGAGAAACGACTTACTGATGGGAGGCGTGAAGCGAAATCTGAGGAAACAAAAAAATAAGATCAGAAGAAATAAAAGATAAACAGAAAGTGATTTAAAGAGTTATGTTAGGTATAGAGGGAGGTTTTGTAAGGAAATATAGAAAGTTCAAAGGGAAGCTAAGACCATGAAAGACTCACTGCCTCCAGGTTATAATGTTAGGATGTTATAATGTTATAATGTTAAAGGATGCTAAATCAGTTAGCTAAGGGTTCTCTTACCTTCTGATTTCAGGCTTGTTTTTGGCAGTTTTTCCACCAAATCTCTTCTGTCCATGTCGATGAAAACCTCTCTGACCACAGCCAAAGATTTCTGGCCAAGTCTGTCCACTATCAGACGGACCTGTTGGTTTAGCTCGTCCATCATATCCAGAGTATCCACCTGGATTCCTGGGATGCTCCTGTGGAAGCAGGTTAACTGCAGCAACCTGAAGAATCTGTACAGATCCATCAGACTGAGATGACGAAGGATCTCCATGAGGATTATCCTGAAGTCTTCCTGCTGAAAGTCCAAAGTTTCATTTCTTAAAAGTGAATCATCCATATACTATTCAACCTTATTTTCTGTCTCTCTTCTTTCATTAATTATATAAACATCCAGTTTGTGGGCTGCAGATGTCCTCCATGAGTACAGAACCCAATCAAGGCTGGACTTTAAAAAATCAAATAGTCTAGAGAGCTGTTCTTAATGAAATGTATTTTTGTTTACACTTGTGTTAACAAAAAAAATAAAATCTGTCTTAGTCTCTAAGTCAAACTCACCGATGCATCCGCTGGTTTTTCCACAGACAGATTCTCTGGGAAAAGGAAGAATACCAGGCTGTATTACTGTATGCAGGAACGCTGCAATAACACCTTTAATTCACTGTAAACCCGACTTTACAATAAAAAAAATGACTGCATGGAACAGCAGAGCTCAGGTAATCTAAGCTAATCTAAGGAGATTATGGGCTGTCCTTACCTTTATGCTGTGGGGATGCAGGGAACCTCTGCAGCAGGTCTGTCCTCTTCAGTTCTGTGAGAAGCTGCTTGGTGACGTCTACAGAGCGCGGGCCCAGCTCTTCCATCATCAGATCCACTATTGCTGATCTATCTGACCTGTTCCACAACGAGAGTTGAGGAATACTCCACCAAACCTTTACCTGCAGTGACGCTGTAAATTCGTTGAGCTCATCGTCACTCAGCTCAGTAAGTATTTCCACCAGCAGCTGTCTTAAAGCTGACAAGGTCGCCACCTGGAACATGAGGTTGATTAACAGAAGATATTATAATTAGATCCAGGTCAGCAGCAGCAAGCAGGGAACATTTCCTGTCTCTCTAACACTGAATGAATGTTACTCACTCTGCGGATCAAAGCTGATCGTTTTTCATCCACTGAGGAAAGAACAGAATCTGATTCAGTACCATCAATCAGGCAGGTTGGTAAAAACTTTCTATCTAAGGAAAACCAGCTGATTGCATCCAGTCATGGCCTGATTAGAAACCAGACAAAAGTAGCTTTAGGTGGCCTAGTCAAAGTCTGGACTTTCACTGTGAAACAGCAGCTAACAGTGACAAACTCTGGCAGGCATGACTGTACAGATTTATACCCCAGTGGTTTATATGGCCGTTAAAAATGGTAAATGTCCTGTACTTATATAGCGCCTTTATTCAAGTCAGCAGACTTGACCAAAGCGCTTTACACAACATTCATTCACCCATTCACTCACACACTGATGGTGGCGAGCTACATTGTAGCCACAGCTGCCCTGGGGCTCACTGACAGAAGCGGGGCTGTCGTACACTGGCGCCACTGGTCCCTCTGACCACCATCAGTAGACAAAGCAGGTGAAGTGTCTTGCCCAAGGACACAACGACACTGAAAGTCAGAGTCGGGGCTTGAACCGTCAACCCTTCGATTTCAGGGCAAACTCCTACATCCAACGCCACTGTCGCCCCATAAAACCATAAACCAGAAGGAAAACAATAAGAGCCTTTAGTTTTGCTTTTGATGCATGTTTCTGTTCATCATCTGTTCACTAAAATCGTCTCACCTTCAGTTTCAGAGCTGGACTTTCCAGGTCTGAGAGGAGAATGTCTCGGAGGAGTTAAAAAGTCTGATATTTTATCCTCAGATTGTTGGCCGTAAGCCAGAACCAGTATAACCATCAGGACAAATGGGTCTCTGATCACAGCAGGAAACCAGAAAGGTAAACTCTGTGGGTATAAACACTGTTGGTTTAAACGCATCTCAAACATAGCTTTCTTCTTCACAACCTCCAGTTCTCTTAGACTCAGCTGAGCCAGTTTATCCATCAGCTTCTGGATCACAGACTCTAACTGGTCCACCTAGAAGAAAGAATCACTATAATAACTCCCAGGTTTTATGATTCGTTTTATAAACAGTGTTGGATTAACCTTGGTTTCTAAATCATCTATTGATTGTTATCATTACTGCTGTCAGAGAGACAAATTCCTCATGTTTAAAACCATCGCTGCATTAAAGGCAGGTTGATCACAGAGACATAAAATCACTTTACTTACTTTGTCGTTCAGTTCAGGCCAAATTACTTCCTGTTTCCCTGAAGATAGAGAAAATAAACTAGATCCGTTTAGAACGAGGCTCAGTCCTCCTGCCCCACAACATCAGATTAACAGAATTATAATGAAATGATCGATATGTGTCTAGTTTATCAGCAGCATGCGGTGGTTTATCCTCGGTGTTTAGCATTAATATGAAATCAGCCGATCATGGGGATTAGGCAGAACATTGGATGGATGAAGACGGGCTGAAGTTCAAACGGAACCTCAGATTACAGTAGGAAGGAGACAGATATTAGCATCTGATCATCCAGCAGGTTTCAGATGATTGCCTTGGTGTGTTCAGATGTTTCAGCAATCAGATCATCAAACATGGAGCAGCTGCTACGGACAGACTGGTTTAGCAGACATGGAGGCCATCGAAGCTCGGAGCGACAGGCTACAGCCGCCCGGACCAGACCGCACGCTACAGGCTGACAACCTCCTGGTTGTCATGGTGATGGAGACCCTCGGTTCCTATGCTAACCATGTTCAACACTGTGCCACTCGTGTTAAACTGGTTTCCAGTGAGCCCTCTGTATCCCACTGTGGCTCCCAGTCAGATTTCAGTCCAACCCAAAGTTCTTCAGCAGAATTAAACTGAACTGCTGCTGTTGTTTGTGAAGCTCTCCTCCAGCAGGTCACTAAACCAGAAACACCTTTCTGGAGGAGAACTGGAAGGAAGCATCCATCTTCTACAGACCATCACTTCCTGGATGACTGAGATCTTCCACCAGCAGAACGAGGAGATGTTCAGATCAGGGAGCTGCTCTCTGCCACTAAGTGTGAAATGCTATCATTCGTATCTCCACTGCCTCTCCATTCTTACTACAGATCGGGTTTGACTCACCTTTTCCTCTTGGGCAGCCGTCTGACAGCCTGTGAGCCAAATCAGACATGCTGATGCCTGTTAAAGCCTCGGCGGGCACCTCCCCGGCCTGTCGGCCGCATCGAACCAACAGCTCATCCGGTAATTTCTCCTTCTTCAACGACAACCTGCTGCTAGATGGAAAAGGTTGGAGACCCCGTTGAAAGAGAGTGAACTGCAGAGACCATGTGAAGAGCTGGAATTCTTCCTGATTTAGAGCCCCCAGTATTTCTGAAAGATGATCTCTGGCAGCGGCCATCGATGCCACCTGAACCAAGAAGAACATGTTCAATTCCAGACAGGAAGCTTTTCATCTGGTTACCTCTGAACTCTGGGATTATCTTAATCTGGACGTCTGGAGACTCCTCAGATCAGACAATGCTTACTTTGTGGATGAGTGCAGTTGGAAGTTTATCAATTTCTGTTTCTAAAAGAAGTGGAGAAACATTTATTAAATAAAAGGAAACGCTGAGGTTTGGTTGTTAATCTTTCTAAGCTCACCTTTGGATCTTGGTCTGCTGTCTGACAGCTTCTTAACCAGACTGATCTTCCCCATCTCCTTTAAAATATTCTTTGTTTTATCCAGAGACTGCATTCTCCAGGCCTCCACCAACATCAGCACGGCGTTCGCGGGGTCTGCCCTGTGCAGCCTGATTCTGAGGTCTACAGCTGACCCGTAGGTCTGTATTTCCCTCTGGAGGAACTCCTGAAAGACTTTGAATTCCTCCTCAGTCATTCCAGTCAGCGTTTCCAGCAGCAGCTCAACATCAGACTCCATCTTTAAAACCTGAGGAGATGAAGTGAGAAGTCGGAGTCTGTTCCAGACAAAGACTGTCCATCCAACAATCCAAAGACTGTTGCTGTTAAAGACTAAAGGAAGGAGGAGGATCAGGATTTACGAAGTTTTCAGGCAAAGTTATTTTATATAAAATAATTAAATCTACATCTTTAATAATGTTAATATGTTTTATTATTTCACTGGATTGTCTGAAATGATGATCTACTTAAATCACTTTTTGAACAAAATGTACTTTTAGGAGTACTATCACTGCAGTGTACTTTATATTTTTACTTGATGGATGTGTTTGGGACGAATCGCCACTCGGACTAAAGCAAAACTTCCAGCTACTCTCCTCTAAAAGAGTAACGTCACTGAATTAACGACGTGTTTTAGCATAAAATCCACCAGAGAGAAACTGCTGTTGGTGTTCTTATTTCAACACAAACTTTTTCGTTCTTTCCTACTTTTATTAACAAACACAAATGCAGCCAAAGCAGAGGGGAGTTCACTGCCCTTCAATCTATAACAGTCAACAATAAGGTGGATGATGAATTCTGCTATTAAATGAAAATACAGTTAAACATCTTTAGGAAAAGAGTAGCATGTAAACTGTTATAATTAATCCCCAGATCTGGGAAAACAAAATCCACTGAATTGAGCAGCGACATTTGGTTCTATTCAGTTTATTTCTATAGCTCCAATTCACATCATGTCATCTCAGGTCACTTTCCAGTTCACCAGATCATCCAGTCAGATTGATTCAAAGTTTTCTATCTAAGGAAAACCAGCTGATTGCATCGACTCATTGACTCTTCAGCAATCCCTCACACTAAGCATGCTTGTAGCGACAGTGGAGAGGAAAAACTCCCTTTGAACAGGAAGAAACCTCCAGCAGAACCAGGCTCAGTGTGAGCGGCCATCTGCTGAGGCCCACTGGGGTTCAAGGAGACAGAAGCAGACATAGAAAAAGAAGCATAGATACAAAAGGCAACTGTCAACCAGCTCCACAGGCGGCCCCGTCCAGGAAACACACAGCCAGGCAGACGAGCTCCGAGCCAGCTCCCATGTCAGAGGATTGTTATGCCATATGCCATGATCATACTTTTTGGACAGTGGGAACCAGTGTCCATATTTCATGCTGATAGGATGACAAGAGAAGAAAACGCAGCTTTGGTGAATAAAGCTGGGGGACTTCAGCAGCCCCCCCCTTTTTCAGCAAAAGCAGCCCCCAGCAAGTCACATGGAAGCCACCAGAGGTGTGAAAACTTACCCCCTCCCTGAGAAGACAGAGAAAACCACAGAGCACACAGGATTTTGCCTCTTCTCTCTTTCTCCCTCGTCTGATCCAGCCTGCTTCTGCTCCTGCGCTCAAAGCTGGGGCCCACAGTGGCCCACAGTGGAGATGTGGGCCCCAGGGGAACCAGATCCCCAGAACCATCAAGGATGAGTCAGAACTCTTCAGAACCTAACTGCTGCAAACAGAACTTTTGCAACACATTTCTCTTGAGTTTCAGAACTTACAGAGCCAAACTAGATGAAGACCATGCCCTGGGTTTGAGACTGAGGGGACCCCTGCTGTGAGACTGAGACAAAGAGCCCCTGACTGCAGAGCTGCAAAACTGGATGAAACTCAAGCTTTCCAAATGGACATGGAAAAAGGTTTGCAGGTCTGGCATGATTAGGGACAGAACAAGCAATGTGTCTTTTGATGATGCTAATCATATTGTGTGTTTACTGCTGAGTAAAGACAACGCTAATTGATGCTAAAGAATGGACTGCATGCTACGCTATGCTACAGGAATATGTGTTGAGCTGTTGCTAAAGCTTAGACAAGCTTTATTCACTGAGGATTTAAACACTGATGTAACATTAGTGTTCATGTGTTCCTCAGATGCTCGTTACATTTCCATTACCAAGTCTGACCAAGAGTCATTTAGTGGAATCCTGATGTCTATTCGCTGCTAGCTATTTCAAAGAGGGTAAAGAATCATTTAACTAAAGGTTTTTGGTTCTTGATTAAGCATATCATTTAATAAAACATTATTTGGCCAAATAATGTTTTATTCACCTCATGGATTTGCATTGTGAATTGGTCTGAAAACATTCCAATTTCTTTAAAATTAGTGAAAAGCTAATTTGATCAGATCCCAAATTCTTCCAGATAAACTTTGGTTTCAAACACAGAATCCATCTTAAACTGTAATATGGTTTTCAACCATTTTCCCCTTCCTCTTTGTACATAGTAGTTAGTTTAGTTTAGTTGAGTTTTACTAGTCTTAGTTGAGAGTGTTAAACTGAAATACGTTTGACTTGGAGCTGAATGATTTTTGTTAATAAAATCTTATATTTTGAACAGAAGTTGTGGTGAATTTATTTCATGTATGTGCAGAAATAACTGTTTGACCATGATTAGAGCTCGAATAACTCTTTCATCTATTGTTCTAACACACAGTTAGTAGGACTGTGTGTCATAAACAGTATATAACAGCTGAAATAATATCTGATTCAATCAGATATTTACCACCCCTACAGGGTAGGGCAATAAACATCTTAAAGTATCAGAAACATAAATTCCCAGCGGGCTGGGAATAGAATTTACCTATAGAATCACAACATAAATATGGCGTCCCTGGGTGGGCCCATTAATTGTAACATCTATTTAGCGTCCCATGTTGCTGGACTCATTGAATGTAACATTTAATTGGTGTCTCAGTTTGGTGGTCATCGAATATAACAGTCATTCTGCACATACAGTATATGAGAATAAACTTAGAGCCATTATTGAGAGCATTAACATCAGCTCTCACCACTCAATAATAAAATCTTAAACTCACAACTTAAGAATCCAATACTAAATGTCTTAGCTTATATGAGAAGAAAATATAACCTTTGACATTCTTGGAGCATCAAAATATAGAACATTTAACTAAATCTAATAACTCCAAAATATCTCTTCAGCTAGTGATAACCAACTTTACTTCAAAGCAAAACTGATGATTCAAATCAATCTGATCACTTTGGTCCAACTAAAACTAAAAGATTTAACTCCCAAGTTAATCTTATTGTTCGACCAAAATTTATGCACATCTATACCTAGATGTTGCCATTTGTGGTTTCTATAACCACATACCAAAAAATGAAAACTCCCAAGTTATGCTATTTCAAAGTCACTTCCAGTCCAAAATAGGTTAGATGCCTCAAAATTTAACCTAAATCCCTTTGTCTATTAGTCTAATAAGACTCCTAAACACTTATTTTATATTGCGTAGAACAAGATTTGTTGCCAGATTTAACGTAAGTTAATCTTTGGTCCTACCCGACCAAAAGGGGGTGGATTCAAATTAAATTGCTTAAAATCCCTTAAAGAAAGGTGAATCATAAGCTAAATTGCTAGTAAAACATTAAAGGTAAGCTTTGCGCCAAACTGCTTATAAATCCTCAGAGACAGGTAAAGCATGCGCTAAAATAGCTAATAAATCCTAAAACAAGGTATAGCATTTTTAACACTGAAAGAAAGTGTTTCTTTGATATCACAGAAAAGGGTGAAGCATAAGCAAAATTGCTTGTAAGTCCTTAAAAGGTAAGCTTTGCGCCAAACTGCTTATAAATCCTCAGAGACAGGTAAAGCATGCGCTAAAATAGCTGGTAAATCCTAAACAAGGTGTAGCATTTCTAACACTGAAAGAAAAGTGTTTCTTTGTTATCACAGGTTTAAAGATAACCCGTGACCCGTTTCTACACACATAAAAATAAGTCCTTACAATATGTATATGTAAATATACAAGTATATTGGGTACTGACTGGATTGTGTTCTTTTGAAATTTCTTCATAACTTGTGTTTTTGTGCCATCAGCTGAAAATGGATCCAAGCATCCTCAATTCTGGGCACACCATTGGCTCCATAGGCATAGAGAAACAGAAACAAATTGTTGCAAAGCTTATCACTTATCTTCAGAAAAGCAGGATAACCTAAACAATTTTAACCTCAGCCTATGTGAAGAAAAGATTCAAGAATTAATTACCTTAATTCAAAACCCAAATGGAAACTTTCTGATAACAGATGTACTCTGTGTGCTCACGCATCTTTATCAGCTTAAATCCCAAATAAAAGCTAAACAGTACTCTGAGTTAGAAGCCAAATATCAGATGATCTGCCACAGAGTAAGTGCTGCAAACATTTTATGGTCAGGAGCTGACAAGATCAAACCCCCATGTGGCCAGACTGACCATGCCTCAGAACAAAGAGTGACCCCCCTCTTGGAGGAGCTATGCAATAAACAAAGCAAGCAGACTTTGAATCAGCATGAGATCACCCCAGGCGAAAGGAGAACAGTTCCTGAGGCAGATACAAAGTCTCTAAACTCTGAGTTAACACTAAATAGATCTGAAGATGTTCAAAGTCAAAGTAGTGCCGCAGACAGAGAGAAACAAGTAGATCACTTGGTAAACTCAAGCGGTTTAAAATTTTGCAAAGGACAGCCATGCAAACCAATCTCTATCTCACACTCCGTTGACCGAGCATCAAGTGCCAAAGTTCACACCTTGAAAAACTCTGAGGAGAACCAGTCTCCCTTGTGTCATCAAAGGTTAGCTCAAAACCCCCCACCACCTAATGAGCAGAACCAGCTTCCTGACGGGCCAGGCCCACCGAGTGACCATAGAAGTCAACAAATTGAATCCTTGGCCAAAGACATTGATATTTTTGACCCAGAAAGTCAACACTCCAACATAGCTGATTATCTGCAAGAAGTTGAGCACTGTCTAAAAGACTTGCCATTCCCTTCTTCTCGTGAGAAATTGAAGCTGATTTGGAAAACAACAGCTAGAAGCGTCCATGTTTTCATAAAATCTCTTCCTCCAAAAATCAGAGAAAGTTATTCAGCTCTTTGTCAAACCTTAAGAGAAGAATATTCTGGTTACAGAGATCTGGCGTTAGCAACGCTTGAGACATCTTTAGTTCTCCAAGGAGAACATGAAACACCCAGAGAATATTACTTTCGCTTGAGACAGGCTTATTTTGAAGGCTGCAGTTCTCCAGATATTGACG